GGTCCAGCATACTTTATACACGGCGAGCCTAGCTTTGGGAGCCATCCCGGCGGCGAGCCCCCTGGCGTAGCCGAGAGTCGAGGCAGGGTAAACGTAACGGCCGGCGGCAATCGAGGCCGTATGCGTGCCGTGACCGTCGGAATCGCGAGGGGAGCGGAACTCAGAAGTCTGATTCATCTTCCCGTTGGTGGCCTCGTAACCCGCGCAGAAGAATTTCGCGCCGACGAGCTTCCGATTGCAGGAGGAGGAAGGGAAATCGGGGGTGTTGACGCAGGAGCCCTTCCATTTGGTGGGGACCGGAGGGAGGTCGCGGACGTGGAAGCTCTGTCGGTCCGGGGAGATCCCGGTGTCGAGGACGGCGACGACGAGGTCGGAGCCGAAGTCGGAGTCCTTGAGGAGGCCGGCGGAGTCGGTGGAGGTGCCGAGGCCGAGGAAGTGTGGGGAGCGAGTGGTGTGGAGGCGGCGGAGGCGGTCGGGAAGGAGGGAGAGGACGTGGGGCTGGGCGCGGAGGAGGAGGGCCTGGGTCGGGGAGAGCTTGACGGAGAAGCCGTGGAAGGCGGCGCCGGTGTAGGTGTGGATTAGGAGCGGAGGGGAAGGGGAGAGTAAAGAGGAGAGGGAGGATTGGTACCAGTGGGAATGCGTGGGGAAGATGGAGGGTTTGACGGCGTCGGGGTGGACGCTGACGATGTAGGTCGATGGAGTGTCGTTGATGGAGGAGGGGGAAGTTGGAGAGGGGAGGATTGAGAAGAGAAGGATGAGGAGGAGAAACAGAGGAGACGGCGACGCCATTTTTGAAGTAAGAGCTTCGATTTTTTGGTTTAATTTGGAAAAATGGTGGAAGAGTCAAGAGTGAGTGAGGGAATTAGTGACAGAGTGACAGTGGAAGCTTTGAAGAGGGAGGAGGGGAAAGTGGGGGGGATTTTTGGGGCGGGGAGTTTTGCTTTTTGGCTTCTGTTTTCCACTTTTTTTTGTCTGTTTGTTTTGTTTTCCCTCCATTTTTTTAATTTTGGTAATTGCTTTTTCCGTTTTTCGGTTTGGGTTTTGTTATTATAATATTTTGATTGGTTGTGGGAAAGAGGGACTGGGCGGTGGGCACAGAGAGGAGAGTTACAGGTGGAAGGAGGTGAAAAAATGGGGAATGGTACAGTTTCTGTCCGTGTGTCCACAGCAAAATCCCAAGAAAAAGTAAGGAATTTCTCCATGGAAGGGGGTAATTCAATACTAGCGGGCTTGGGCCCACTGCGAAAGGCCGAATAGGGGAGATGCGGGCTTTAGTAATGGCAGATGGGCCGAGCTCGATTGATTAGCATTCGGGTTTGGGGTCCAGCTCAAACGGGTGGGAAGGTGGACAGCGCATTGTTTCTATTTCTATTCTATTCCTTGTCCTCCCTTTTTCTAGTATTGTTGGTTTTGCTTGTCTTGTCGTGCTTTCTTCCTTTCGTGAGGAAGAAAGAATATATGGGTTGGGGAGATGATGGATCGAAGTGGGTGAAAAAGGGTTGAATTGAACAAATACATATTATTGTTGAGGAATTTTATAATACTATATAGTATTGGTGTTATAGGTTTTTTTCTTTATGGTACAATTTGAAATGGTACCTTTAAAGTTATGGTACAACTTCAAATTGTACCTATACTTTTTGTACAAATTCTTTTATGGTACAACTTGAACGTGTACCTTTATGTGATGGTACAACTTTAAGTTGTATAGTTGTACCATAACATAATGATACGAATTCTTTTATGATACAACCTAAACTTATACATTTAATGTTATGGTACAAGTTCAAGTTGTACATTAAAGCACCAATACTATATAGCATAATAGTAATGCTCATTATTGTTGGTGTTAGATTAGACCTAGTAACAGCAGGCCAGCAGAGAGAATGGAGTGGGTGAGTGTGACAAATATCCACCAAGCCGACATAATGAATGCCATCCATCCCTTTGCTGGCCCATAAACACTTCCCCAATTCCCTCTCTTTTCTGTTTGAATCCAAGTTGACCTACTTACTTAAGTTGCCAAACAACAATTTACTACTACCCAACAGCCAATTAATACATATGTGATCCAAGTTGCATTTCGAATTTTAATGATACAGAACACTGAACATGTTGTCAACTGTGGTACGTAGTTGTTGTGCAGTCATAACTTAAGATCGAATTAGAATGGGATACATATTCCTTAAGATACGAGATTAATGGACGACTTCCTTCCTTCAGTATACTGAACAATATACCACAATTCATATATTCTCTTCTATCGATGATGATTAAGCCGTGACAACGGCTAACTAACTGATAGCGCAGTTCATTTTTAATTACCAACAATATGGTAGAAAGAATGGGAATATAATGGCGGGTGGAGTAGCTTATACTTATAGCCAGAAGAAGACAATAATTGCAATTACCTTGGGGTATAACGTGCATGCGTCCTTCCTTTCACGTGCACGTGTAGAGCTAGTTAATTAGGCAAATCTAATTTAGATTTGTAGATGATTATATGCTTAATTGAACCCTACTTAATTGGGGTACTTAATTAATTGATTAAACTAGAGTAGTAGTGTAGAGTAGATCGAGTAAGTTCGTGTACTGTGAATTTTAGGAAGTGGGATAGAACTAATGGTCCCATCCAAGCATTTTGCGACTAATCGAAGCTATGGCGCTACATAATAATGTCAAAAAGACAAAGAACGACAAAGCCCACAAACTAAAACAGATCGAGACCCCCACTCTTCCTTCCTTTCTGCTGGTCGTAAAGGAGATCGGTTCAAAACTAACGGAAGACTCGAGCTGTCTTCCACACACAAACACACACCTTGATCGACACTTTAATTTAAGTATATATCATCATTTGACCACTAGTAGAGGTGGCAATTGGATCGGATTCGTGGATTCGTGGATTGGATTGGTGGATCTATGGATCAAATGGATTGGATCCAATGGATTGGTGGATTCATGGATTGGATCAAATGGATTGGTGGATTGATCCATGAATCCAAATGACATCCAAGGCTTGGACCAAAATGTAAATTTTGAAAAGTTTAGGTACTAAAATGTCATGATGAAAAATTTTAGGTACCAAAATGTAATTTTCCAATGATATTTTTCGTATAAAAATATAAATTTTAGGTACCAAAATGTAAAATATAAAAAATATAGGTACCAAATCGTAATTTGCCATTTGGATCCATGGATTGATCCATGAATCCACCAATCCAATTGGATTTGGATCAAATGGATTGGATTTAAATGGATTGGATTAAGTGGATAATTTGGTGGATGGATTGGATTGGATTCATGGATTTGGATCCTAATTGCCACCTCTAACCACTAGCCACAAGTCATCATGATTAAGCCACCCATATGGCATATGCCATATAATTTCATGCATTCTATAACTAGTTTGAATATTCTAATTCTTTGGCCAAAGTAAAGTAAATTATTAATAAAATCCAACTATAAAAGGAGGTAGGGTTGTAAAACCGTGCAAAAAGTCGTATCGGGAAAGCCTACGTAGGTTATTCTATGGTGAGAATTGCGGTTTAACAATTTCATACCGATAAATCGCCTTCCAATTGTTAGAGTTTCGATAGATGATTTTATGGTCAGACATCCCGTTGCAGAATGGTTTTGCAAACATAGACTTAAGGCATGTGTTGGGTTTCCTCCCTATTGCCTAGCATATCTAGGCACTGCCTAGATGTTTGAATAAAAAAAAATATTTTTTAGTAAAAATAATAAATTTTTAGCATATTTTTACTTAAATTCAAATAATTAATAATCAGAAATCATCCAAAAAAACAAGCAAAATATGTCATAAATATCTAGAAACACAGTGTACGCAATCACAAATTCATAGAAAGTTAGAAATAAGCTAAAAAAACAACAAGTTGATAGCATAAGGGGAACTTAAAACAACTTCAATCATCATCATCCAAATAAGTCCATATAGAATACAACTACCACTTCATCATCCTTCAAATTAATCTCCTCCGCGCTTCTCATCGGGCTCGAAATGAATGAGCAAGGGGATGAGAAACAACTTTCAAAATAAGAAATTGTGATTTGTATTCCAAATTGAGAGAATGACCAATGAAGGACACACATCGCATGGAAGCTTGAGAAGGAAACCGGCTTTCTTCTTCCCTTGAACCTCGACTACGCTTACGCACGTCTTCTATTGCCTAATTGCGCCTACATACGCTTTATCATGATTTGGCATCACCTACACCATTTTAAGCATTATAAATGCGTCATGTGTTGTCTAGGGCCCATACGAGATATATATGTTTTCGTTACCTAACGTCTATGCGTGCCTAAATGTTTGCAAAATTACACTTCTTCAACTTTGACTAAAAACTGTAGTGGACCTGCACCTCTAAACATATGCGGCGGAGTGAGTGAATTACAACTTTGAGTAGAATTGTAGTGGACCTGATCTTCCCATTGAGACCACTTAGTTTAGCGGCGGCCTGGGTTTGCTGAGGCCCAAAATTAAGTATGGGCTTTCTCACATTGGAAGAAGCTACGGAGAAAATCTTTTCCTCTGTCCTTTCTTTTCCTTCTCCCTCAAAGCCAAAGAAAACATTCCTTTTATTGGTAAAAACAGTTACCATATCATGCATGGAAGAAGCTACGTACGTACGTACAATTAACTTCACCACCACGGCTGGAGCCGGCCGTCGGATTCACAACTTTTCTTTCCTTGTTTGCATAATCATCCTTCTGAAATCAGGACAATCTAATCATATCAAATCAAACCCTAATTAAACTGAACTTCCATATTATCACACATACGTACGGAAAAAAAGAACTCCCTATAAAGAAAGAAAAACCCTAGTTTACCTCCCGTCCTCCATTTTCCATTCATCCCTATATATAATACCTAGCTAGAGGAGGAGCAAGCGAAGGATCAAGCTACCAAGATGAAAAGCGCAACGACGGGGAAGAAGAAGAAGAAGCAGCAGGCGACGGCGACGGGGACGACGAAGAACCTGATGAAGAAGGCGAGCAAAGGGAGGCAGAAGATCGAGATCAAGAAGGTGGAGAACGACCCCCACCGCCACGTCACCTTCTCGAAGCGGAAGAACGGCCTCTTCAAGAAGGCCACGGAGCTCTCCACCCTCTGCGGGTCCCAGCTGGCCGTCATCCTCTTCTCCCAGCACCACAAGGTCTTCTCCTGCGGCCGCCCCGACGTCGACTCCGTCCTCCGCCGCTTCGAGCTCCACCACGCTCGCCGACGTGGCGGCCCACTGCTCAACCCCACTCCCCCTCATCCTCATCTTCTTCACCATGATGCTATTAACAACATTAACAATAACAACGTGATTAGCGGTAATGATCATGGTTTGGGGATTAGCGTGCAAGAGCAGGAGTACGTGAAGTCGGTGGAGAGGCTGGAGGAAGCGAAGAGGCTGGTCAGCGAGTTGACCAACTTTCTCGGTCATAATAAAAAGAAGGATGGTCGTGGAGTGGGTCCCGTGCCAGCGGCCTACGTGGCGGAATCGGCGGCGGGGGGAGGGTTTTGGTGGGACAGGTGGAGGGTGGAGGGGATGGAGGAGAAGGAGGAGGTGCAGTGTTACAAGGAGGCTGTAACGGAGCTGAAGAGCAGAGTGATGGCGAGGATTGACGCAATGGCGGCTGGCAACTCGGCGGCGGAGTCGGGGATTATTACGGATTTTATTCTGAATAATAATCACTTTAATCATGGTCATCTTCAGCACGGTAATAATGAAGTCGGCGGCGTTGGCGGCGTGGTGGATGTGAATCCTGCTATCTCCATCTCCATATCGTCTCCTTCCTCGTGATTAATTGGTTATGCATGGTTATTATCCAGTATTATTGATCATGGATCTTTTGTTTACTGTTTGGTTTATTGGAGCACTCTGAGCAGATTTTCACTGCCTAGGGCTATGATACTCGATTGATTAGTACGCCTTAATTCGATCTCAACATGTGGTGCTTTTGGGTCTCCTTAAATTGAGGCGACTTTCTTTTGCAATAAGCGTGTGTATGTATATAGGTGAAGCTGACACTATACTGATTATAATTATAGCACATTAATCTTTACATTTGGTGATATTGATCATACATGCATGTGCATATATCTAGCTTGGGAACTAATGCAAAGATTGTTGCATAAATCATGAGTTACCGGAATTTGTAAATGATATAGGGGTGCGTTTGGATACAATGATTTGGATTTGGTATTTGTGATTTGGATTTTCAAATACCAAATCATGTGTTTGGATATTAATTACATTTGGTATTTGGATTTGTGTCAAATTCATGGGGTGATTTCCAAATACATGTCTAGTGTATTTTTTGTCAACTTCAAATACATTTCAACAACTAGTGATTTGAAATACCTCCTAACTAAAGAATGGACCTATTTGTAAAATATGAAAAGTTTAGGTACTATAGTGTGAGGCAAAACATATAAAGGTACCAAAATGTAATTTTACCATCAAAATTTCAGGACCTTTTTGTAAAATTTTAAAAGTTTAGGTACTAAATTGTAAGAAAAAATAATTTTGGGTACCAAACTGTAATTTACCAAAATTTGTAGTAAGTGACCAGAAAATTAAAAATTGAAATTGAAAATCATAAAATACAAAATACAAACAAATTACAAATGAGTATCCAAACAATGAATTTGAATTACACGTATTTCAAATGCTAATATTTCGAATACATCCATTTCAAATGCTAATATTTCAAATACCTTATATTTAAAATTCATTTATCCAAACGCACCCTAGGAGAGAATATAGATAGATAATCAGGGAGCTGGTTTGAGTCGGAGGTTCACATTTACAAGCCGTTGATGATGGAGTGGGCGGTTGTAGACTGGTAGTACCGTGAGATGGGATTTTCCCCCTAGAATGCAGCCATCATGCATCTTGATGGTTGCTTGTTGTGGAGAGGCAACTAACGGCGTAGTTAGGTTGAAGTCAGGACGGTGTTTAGCCTCTCAACTTTGAAATATATATGAGATTACACATATAAAATTCGAAAAAAGTTTGAAAAAAGAGCATGCAGTTGATAAGATTACATATAAAATCGATAGTATGTTATATGATGTTTTATAAACTTGATCGGTCAAATATAGCGAGGGGTCGTTTGGTGAGAGTGAATTCTTACCGCCTAATTTGTGCAGCAGCAAATAATAATATGTATAAGTCTGATGTTGTTTTTTTTGCTTACATTAAAATAAATTAGTTACTCTCCCTAAAAACATGCCAATCACGAATTAAGAGCTGACCAATCTATAGCAGCCCATTGTGGTGGTTGTTTTCTTTCCAGTTTGGGAGAAGGCACCCAGCAGACATCTTAATTACAAGGCTGTCCAGTTTGTGCATAAAAAGTACTAATATAGGCTCGCTCGTAACTATCCTAATAACGGGGAAGAATTCCCAGAATACAGCCAAAATTAAACATAATTCCCCTAATACATAACTTTTATAAAATTTTCACAAAATACCCAAGTTTCAAGGGGTTCGAGTTCCATAAACTCGAACAACAACACAGTTCGACGATTAAAAACTCGAACTACAACCACATCGCGTTCATAAACCTCGATCAAAAGTAGATCGTGTTTGGACAACTCGATCACAGTAGATCGAGTTTGGAAAACTCGATCAAACTAGTTCGAGTTTGGAAAACTCGATTTAACATGATCGATGCCAATAAACTCGATCTAGTAAAACGATTTTAGAATCCTCGATCCATATCTGCATAAGACTGACGCCTTAAAACTCGAACCATACAGATTAATTCCTATGGCCTCGAACCACTGGTCAACCGAAGTGTCAGGATAGAGTTGCAGGGATAAGATTCTTTGTTGGTGTAGATCGAGTTCTAGGGACTCGAACTAGTATAGTTCGATTATTCTAAACTCGAACCACTGCTCAATCATTCTGTCCCGTCGCTTTCGGTCCGACATGCTCTAGAATAGGGTGCTCGGGGGTAAAATTATTGGTTGCCGTAGATCGAGTTTAATGAACTCGAACTAGGGTAGTTCGAGTGTTTTGGACTCGAACCACTGCATCAGTTTACGAGGATAAAAAGCCATCACTTAGCACATTCTGGCAGCTCTTTTACTTTCTATCTTCTTTCTTCCAAACACAAACTGCAGCAGCTGGAGCACCATAGCTCAGCAAAGAAGAAATTTTTTGGAGGTAAGTTCTGCTTACGTTGTTTGAATGAGCATATTAGAATTTTGGATTAATTTAGAATTGTTTATACTGTATGTAATGAGCTGCTTCTATAAACTGCAGAAATGGGAAGAAAATTTCAAAAATCGACTTATTGATTCGGTGGAATGGTCGAATTACACATTTTCATGATAGTATTGACTACGAAGATGGTGAATCAAGTACTGTCCCGATTAAGAGCATATTTACTTGGCAAGAACTCAGCCATATTTGTGCGGAACGATGTTGCATAGGAGGGAGAAGAGTATGCAAGATGACTTACCGTATGCCGGTTTACAAGGATTATGCACTTGTATATGAAGGATCAGTTTTGTCTGACGATGATGATGTTAATATGATGGTGAGATTTATTGCAGAGAACAGATTTCCAACTGCTGAGGTGTATGTCGAGACAGAAGTTGTTGGCTAATATGGTGGGGGCGGTTATACCGAACAAGGTGAAGGATCGGGAAAGTTTTCCGGTTCAGGAGATTTTAGAGTTCTGCATGATGCACCATGGCCAACATACGAGGATCGAACTGCAACTGGTCCATTGGTGGAACATGATGGACAGGAGTGGCCAGTATGGGATGAAGAATGGGATTACATAAGGGCACCCAGACAAGCATCTACACCAGCATCTGGCATCAACAATGATCCATATGTGGATAAACCAATTCCTCCGTACACTAGCGAGGCAAGCGACGTGGAAGATGAAGAGTTAGAATCAATGAGTAGTTAAGATGGTGAAGATCTGGAAGTTGACGAGGGGGAATTTGAGCCCCCCAATCCAAGCATCTCAGAGATAGATAGAGAGGTAGGAATTTTTCGCACGAACCGCACTCCTTCGTATACGTCAGGAGTCCATTGATGAGAAGGGTACAAATCGGGAAGTGCTTACCGGATCTGCCGCCCAAACACTTTCAGACCGATGGTAAGGTTGCTCATCCAACAAATCGGTTTCTCGCGGTCCGTCTTGAATGTATAATCTAGGATCGTAAATACTCGGATCCATCTCGGCAATTTTGAGTGATAGAAGTACCAAACTAAAGAAAAAAATCTGATGCGGAAGATCGGGCTTAGCCGCAACCACAGAGCATATTTTTTTCTTCAAGAGTGGTGGGAGGAATAGAGGAAGAAGAATGGAGTGGTGTGGGATTTGGTGGAATGGAAGGGGGTATTTATAGCTGCAGTGGGAGAGTTGATCGAGTTTACAAAACTCGAACCAGTGCATCGATTCACGAGTACTCGATCCGAGTCAAAAGAAGATCGGGGATAGGCGCATTGAACGAACCAGATCGAGTTTAGGGTCCTCGATCAACGGTTGTTCGCCTTTGACGTCATCGATCCGCGTCAACTAAATCGACCACAACCGATACAATCGACTGCATCGAGTTTTGCGCACTCGATCCGCGTCATCCCTGCTTCGCGTGTTTTGGAATCGAACGGCGTGGATCGAGTTTAGAGTACTCGCTCGACGGTAGTGCGCGCCTGACGTCATCGATCCGCGTCAAGCAGATCGATTGCCATAAACTCGATCTACCTGCATCGACTTTCCCACACTCGATCCGCGTCTTCACCACTTCGCTTGTTGAGCAATCGAACGGCCTAGATCGCTTCTCGGTACATCGATCTATGGTAGAGCGCTGCCCATCTCATCGATCCAGTTCGTGTAGTTCGAGTGCTTTATCCTCGATGCACGTGGATCGATTTACTGTCAGTCGAACTCCTACTAGTTCGAGTTCGTTAAATTCGATCCATGTCAAACTTTGGTAGTTTGGGAAATTTTTATAAAAGTTATGTATTGTGAGAATTAGTTTTAATTTTTACTGTATTTAGGGAATTAATCCTAATAACGGAAATCAACCAACAAACTCCATTAATTACTTGTATTGTACATCTTTAGCTTGCGAACTAGACTGTCACACAAAACATGAATTGCGGGCCGGGTGGTTGATTAAATAGATAGATAGATGCGTAAATTAATTAGCGAGCTAGCTGGCGTCGGCGGTTCATGTATCCAAGGCGTTGGTGGGGAGGAAGAGGGAGGGGACGGTTATAGTAGTACTGTACTGGTACAGGCCGACGCCGTGGAATGCTTCTGCCACCACCTTGACGGTGGTTGCTGGCTGTGTCGCTGCTGTTCATCATAGTATTAGTTTTAGCACTAATATTACCGTCGCTGCTGCAGATCTGGAGCAGGGGCGCTGCCTTGAGCTGCCTCCGTCGGCGGCTGGAATTGTAAGAGTTGTTGAGGTGGAAGATGAGATTAGATTCCTCGGCCTCCTTGATCTGGTCCAGCTTCACCTGCTTGTCCCTGCACTTCCTGCTGCAAAAACCTTGGTCACCCCTGTACATGTACACGTCTTCTTTAGGGCTCAACTTGGTGCTGCAGAAACGGCACGACTGCAGCAAGTGATCTTCATGAGGACTAGTAGAATTCGAAGAAGATGATGGAAGGGCAGGGGGAAGGAGTGATGTTAGGGATTTCGTGATGACATGATTGGTATGATGTTGATCGTGGTGGTGGCCGAATATTTGCAGCAAGGAAGCAGCGGTGTCGGCGAGGAGAAGCGCTTGCAGTCCAACTACCCTGCTCCGGTGGACGGGCACCTGCAGCGGGGTCATCATCTTCATACTCATTACTAGCTCACACAAATTAGACCGGATCGGAGAGATGAATGGATAGATCGATGTCAAGAGTGAAGGAGGGAGAAGTGTATGTGTGGTTGCTTTGCTTGATTGATCTGGCGGGGCTATCTATAGCTGCTACACTATATAGTCTCTTCGCGGGCAGGGCACTGCGAGTAATTGAGCAAAAGAAAAACGTGAAAGAGATGCGTACGGGGAGATGAATAAGAATAATAATTTTATTGTTGTTCATTATTAGGAAGGATAGGATTCCAAAGGCCGGTCATGTCATGTCCACATATGTACCACTCACCAAGACCCCACTAACAAATGAAAAAGAGAGAGCCATATATATAACGGAGGTGATTTGATATGGCGTTGAAGAAATTAATCCAATGCAATTCACGTGGTTACTTTTACAAACGTTGTTGTTTACTGTTTAGAGAAAAAGACACCCCAATATAGTTCATATTTTATTTTTACAAGCAACGCGTTGGCCCTAGCGCTCTCTCTCTCTCTCTCTCTCTCTCTCTCACAGTGAGTCAGTGTGGTAATAAAAGTTGATATGACTATTGACTAGCTTATATTATATATATGTGACCCACCCACTCATAGTAAGTCTTCTGCATTATTGCTAGTTTGGTACTGCCAGCGACAATGCACGCAGTAGGGTGAACAAACACACCCGTAAACCGACCCACCCGTCCAACCCGATCCAACCCACCCGTATTTATTGCTAAATCGAAGGTTTTGGGTTGGGTGAGGGTTTTCTTTTGTACAACCCGCCTCTTTTGGGTTGGGTTTGGATTTTGGATTACACAACCCGTAGAACCCGACCCAACCCGTGTTCCAATTATTGGTATGAGTTCGTATCCAAAAAAATATTTATATCGTATATAGTCATACTTATGAGAAAATTAAGATATTTCGCCATGTTTTTCTCTTAAAGTCTCACTAATCTAATGCATTCTTCGCCTTAAAGTTTAGACATATGTTTAATATAGCTATGATTCACGTAATTTTTTTTTCTTGTGTTGAATTTTAAAAGAATATCATATTATGGATGCGTTCATTTGTAACCTTTTTAGCCTATTTCAACAAATGTCGTGAAAAAAACTAGACATAAGTTGAAGTAAATCAAGTTTTATTAAAATTCAAACAATATTTGTGAATTTTGATACCTTTCACCTCGGTTTATTCGTTTGAATTTTTAATTTGTTATAAAATATTTTTTTTTTCCGTTGAATCAAATCTATTTCGTATATTTTACCAAAAAAAAAAAAAATCTATTTCGTATTGATGAAATGAAGCCAATACAACGAGCATAGCAAAATGCTCTATGAGGTCCCACACAACTCAAAATGAGCCACCCTTCTATACAGAACTACTTTACCAAACCTGTAAAACTATGAGTAAGCTATCTAAAGGTATCCTATCTTCTCCAGTTCCTTACGCATCACCACATTCCCTGCCACCAGAAAGCACAAGTCCGCCTTTATGAGAAAAGCGACTTCCTCAGGATCCCTTCTGTTTTTTCCATGCACCATAAGACAACGTTCTTTACAAATAAATGCTAGGAGCATGCACCACATCACCCCATGCCACCGTCAAGAGTTACCTTTGCTAGCTATAAGACAGACCTCAGTTAGCATTGAGTCCCAATCCCAGAAATTCAAAAGCTTGCATCCCAGCGTAACTGCAACTCTACGTGTGAACATACACTGCAAGAATAAGTGCTCTCTAGTCTCAGTTACAGATGTAGATCCACATAGCACACAGGATGCATCAGTAATTTTCCCCCATCGCTGCAATTTTTCCTTAGTCACAATGGCATTCTTGACAATGAGCCAAGCTAGCAGATTATATCGAGGAGGACATGGTGTGCCCCAGATAAGTTTATACCACTGGACCTCCTGCTGTCTACTGCGAAGTGAATCCCATACTGTTCGGACAGAGAATTTGTGCATCAGGTGAGACCCCCAGAAGACTCCTTCAGTTCCTCGTCGTAGCCAAGGGCTAACAATGTGCCTCAATTTTAGCAGCTTCCTCCAAGTCCAAGAACTGCTAAACTGGGGTTTCATCGACCAAAGGTCCCCCTGTCTACATTTGTACTCACGCATCCAGGCCACCCAGAGAGTACCTGAATTGAGGAGAAACAACCAGAGCATTCTCACAGTACAAGCCTGATTCCAGGCCAAAAGATCCTTCACCCCCAACCCACCTTCTCGCTTTGGAAGGGCAATTTTATCCCAGGCTACCTTTGCACGACCTTCATCAGTTCCATGCCATAAAAACTGAGAACACAATTGCTGCACCCTCTTGAGAACCAGTTTAGGCAAGACGAAAATTTGCATCCAATATTGCACAATCCCCAATAAAACTGAATTAAGCAATTGTAATCTGCCAGCATAAGTAAGCTTCTTGGCTCGCCATGATCGAATTCTTTTAGTTATTTTATCAACCAAGATGTCCACTTCCTTTGATGATAGCTTCCCTGTAAGCAGAGGTAAACCCAAATATCTAACTGGTAAAGAGCCCTCCTGGAACCCCGAGAGAGATAAAGCTGTATTCTTAAACTTTACAGACTCCCCCCAAAATATATTTCACATTTCGAAGGGTTGCATTTAAGTCCTGAGATTCTGTAAAATTCCTCCAAAACAGACTTTACTTGAAGAATAGCTTGGCCTGATCCAGAGGTAAAAACTAGTATATCATCCGCAAAACATAGATGGTTCAATCCTATTCTTTTGCACTGGGGATGATAAGGGATCCTACCAACTTGACTTGCCTGCAACAGTAGAGTGGAGAGACCCTCCATGGCAATAGTAAAAAGGTATGGGGACAGGGGATCCCCCTGCCTCACACCCTTTCGAGCTCGAAAAAATCCACATAAACTTCCATTCACGTTAATACTGTAATGAGCTGTCTGAACACAACACTTGATCCAATTAAGAAACCTTTCTTGAAATCCCATAGCCGCCATCATCAGAAAAAGATAATTCCAATTAACAGAATCAAAAGCTTTCATGACATCTATCTTTATAGCACACCTAGATGATAGGCCAGATCTATGATAGCCACTGACCAACTCTTGAGCTAAAAGAATGTTGTCCATAATACTGCGACCCTTAATAAAAGCAGACTGTGTAGGATTTATAATCAAAGGAAGAACTTCCCTAATCATATTTCATATGATTTTGGCTATAATCTTATAGAGGAGGTTCACACAGGAAATAGGTATGAAATTCTTAAGGTGCTCAGCATTAGGGATCTTAGGAATTAAAGAAACAGCCGTAGAGTTTATTCCACCAGGGAGATTACCTCTTTGAAAGAAGTCCAGCACTCCGTTAGTAACATCTGCTCCAATAATATGCCAGGTCTTCTTATAGAAACCTGCAGAAAATCCATCAGGGCCAGGAGCCTTTTGGGAGTTCATTCCAAAGACAACATTCCTGACTTCATCTGCAGAAATAGGCTGGATCAAGGCATCTTTATCTGTCTCAGGGATCTGCACTCTCACCAGAGCTTCTACCATTGCTCTAGTAGGGGAGATTTCTGCATTTACTTCCCCTAATAATTTCTTATAAAAGCTTACCACCTCTCCCACAATCTGGTCTGACTGAGTTAAAGGAACTCCCAAATCATTAACTAGCTTTCGAATTGCCTTCTTAGAATTTTGGATTTTGACTGCTTGATGGAAAAAACCAGAACATTTATCCCCTCGGTTGAGCCAAGAAATACGTGACTTTTGCCAGCAAAAACTCTCATACGCAACTGAGATCAATTCATACTTTTCCTCCATCCGCCGCACTTCAGCAAAGTGCTCAACAGTGGGATAAGAAAAGGCAAGCAGTTGTGCCTGCTTCAACTCATTCTCAGCATCCTTGACCTGATCCTGCAACCCCCCATAAACCTCCTGATTAAATCTCTTCAAAGCTTTTTTTACTTCTTTTAGCTTTCCCTGAACCACCTGCAAAGGAGAGCCCTTGACTTCTGTTTTCCAAGCCTTCTCAACTGTTGGCAGAAATAGTGGATGCTCCGCCCAAAATTCAAAGTACTTGAATGGTTTGGGCATCGATTTGATTGGTGCTTCTGTGCATACCTGGATACCACAATGATCCGAGAAAGGAGCTGGGAGAGCCTCCATAGAACAGTCTTTGAAAATCTCCACCCATTTCATGTTTACAAGAGCTCTATCCAACCTTCTTGCAATAGGATTATTCTGCTGCCGATTTGTCCACGTGAACTGAGGCCCCGTTGTTCTGTAATCTAATAGCTCCAGCCTATCAATCCACTCATTAAAATCAGTCATACTAGTAGTGATACTCCTAACATTTGATGTTTCTGCTGGGGCACGAACAGTATTGAAGTCCCCCCTACCAGCCAGGGGCAATCCCCAACTTGAATTCTTCCAATTGTATCATACGTATGCTTTCTCTCTATCTCATCATTAGCAGCATATACTGCTGTTAAAAAGAATCTCTCCTCATTATACCCTTCCACTATTGAATGAACAAAATTCTTCCCTGGCTGCAAAATTGTAAGATTAATGTCTTGATTCCAAAACAGCCACACTCGTCCAAGATTCGAATCCTTGCAATTCAAACATTTCTTCCATCCCTCAAAGACTACTTCCACTGACTCCTCAGCTTTATTCGATTGAATTCTCGTTTCTAGGACCGCTACTACATCTACTTTATTCCTACAAAGTATCCGCAGCAAATCAATTGCATATTTTGTGTTGGGTTGGGTTTTTACATAAAAATATCGCCAACCCGACCCAACCCAATTAGAAACAAACCGTAGGGTTTAGATTTTTTTGGTTGGGTTTGGGTTTAATATTTTCCAAACCGTAGTGCATGGGTCGGGTGATTAAAATGCCTAAACCCGGACCACCCGACCCATGTACACCTCTAGCACGCAGCATTTGTCAAATCGGTTTAAATCATTGAGCCGGTCAAGACTCAAGAGGAGTTTGAAATTTAATGATGTGGTTG